ATTCAGCTTCCAACAGAGAATAAAGAGAGGTATGATGGATGGATTAAAACAGCACAGGGCTGATGGGGAAAATTGGTTGTAAATCTCAGAAATGGATCAGAAGAAGTTGGCTGACATCAAAGTACATTTAAATGCACATAGAGGGACAAGAGAGAAGACGGAGATACAGTGAAACACATATGGAGAAATCCTTCACACATACGGTAAATTTGACTGTCGAACTAAGAAAGAGAAAGAAAGAGAGAGACTTTAGTGTAGAGCTGTAAATGTCAGAGAAGGAGGGCATTAGGGAAGGCTTCAAGATGAAAAATTCATCCAGGTGTCGTGACAGGGCCTAATATGTTTGTTTCAGATAGAAAATTAATTTTCTAATATTAAAAAGGTCAAAAATAAGCCAAGGCAACAATGACCTCTTTGTCATCCTTAACAAATTATCCAAAATGGCAGTGTCAAATTGGTGGGGATACGTTGGCCAGTGATGAATGCTTCTGGTAATCAGCCAATCAAAAAGAATTCTTCTTCTGCTTTTGATAAATGAGCTGGAAAAACAACACTTTAGGAGGGAGATGGGTCCATTTGTTTCTTTGGTCTCTTTTTCTTTTTTATCCCTCTCCATTTTTCTCTTTTCAAAACAAACAACAGGGTAGCTTGGGAACAGATTATAGCTCCTTGCATCACTGACTCTTTCAGCCATTTTCCCTGCTGACCAATGTTCAGCTACAGATGGTAAATGATTGAATTTTATGAAACAGCTTGAGCGAGCTTGCCTTCAGATGGATGGAGAGGAAGTTTACCGGCAGCTTATAAACAAATACTTTGTTGTCATTTACACAATAGCTGGACTTAATCACAGCCCCTTTTTACATTTCACAATGTATTTATTATATGAATCAAGATCTATTAAAATCTGTATTAAGAAAATTTGGACCACTGGACGTAGAAAAATAAACAAACTCACCAAAAAATTTTTATTTACTATGAGCTTAACATTTGTTCCTATGGTTAATATTGTAGCAAATTATTATTATGTTGGAATGACATATATTTTTCAGTCATTTTAAAGAACAGCTCCCCTAATGGGGCTAAAAGCAAATATGAATTTATGGTATTATTATATCCTGCCCTATTGTGTGTGCAAATATAGCTCATACGTCAGTGACAGATAGCTCCAGTGTTGCTCAAAAACGCATGCACTACTGTGTGACATATTATTATTATTATGAAGTTTATAACTCTCAGCTTATCAGACTAGCAACATGACATCTGATCGACAAGGAGATACTCCCAGAAATCAAAAAATAGTCATGTGATGGTTCAGGATAGTCTTTTGTTATAGTGATCAGATTTATTGTTAGCTTAAAATTACTGATCATAATAAAATGCCATGATAATATTAGCCTTAGCCTTTAATAATGTATAAAATTCACCAGCTATTTAACTGAGAAACAAAGTTAATCATTAACTTTTTCATTTTGTGTCAACAGGTCAAGTATAATCAGCTTGTGAGATCTCAAACCTACGATTTTATATGTGGTATTTAACCCTGCACGCAGACAGGTGAGTTGAAGATAAAACTGCAGAGAGCTCAAGAGGAGGTGTTGATTCTCAGAGATATTGATAGCGGCAGTGACCCTTTGACACAAGAAACAGTGTTAAAGTAAAAAAAATAAAAAATAAAAAAGCAATGTTTAAACCCATTTCAGGCCAAAAATTTGGCTCGTGCTGAGACACATGGCATAACTTTTTTATATATAAATATATAAAATTAAACATTACCGAAACAGGAGTAGACTGCATTTAGTAGTCCTCACTACTTACTCATACCGTCCATTTATTGGGGATTATCTTAATACACATTTGGTGGGGGATTCAATTTCCTCTTAAAAGGAAATCTCTTTATGCAGGCTGTATGTTGTTGAGAGTGGCAGCCTCAATGCCAAACTGCAACTGTACATGTGTTGTATTCATACATTATATAACTGTTACAAATGAGCTGGCTGAAGTAACCTTTAGTCAGTGACTTTAAAAATTTTCTTGTATAGGCCTGAGTTTGCATTACCACTGTTGAGTGCAAATGTTTTGAGCAGTACTGAATTTATATACAAATATTTGTGAAATAAAAGTTTCCAGCTATTAATAACCAATGCGGTGTAGACTGAGCTTGCAACAAGCTTTGATTTAAATGGCACTTCTCTGGGAACTTGCAGCCAGTTATTGAAATTACTGTCATAACAGAGGAAATTATTGTCATAACAGAAGACGGATGCAAGTTTCCTGGCAGAAAAAGTGCTGCTGAATTCACAATGATGGAGAATTGCTTTGGAGTGACAAGGGTGTCCTTCACAAGAAGGGTTGGCAGGGTTTCAAACCAAATGGGGTCCTTTGTGAAATGGAAGGCAATGTGACTTTGAATTATGACACAAATATATTGATGCAGAAATAATACTATTTTCTACAGAGCTTTATGAGAAACTACAGAAGAGGCTACAATTGCAATTCACTACAGTACATCTGTCACATGTCACCATCATAGGTGGGAGTTTTCATATATTATTTACTGGCCATAATAAACTGATTGTTTTTATTTTTGAATCAAATTCAACAGATATCACATACATTCAAACTGTAAGCACTGAAACACAGTTGCATGCCTACCACCGGGTTCCAGATGTATCCTCAGAAAGCTACAAGCTATTTTTAATGTTCTTTGAATGTTGAAGTTGGAGTTTGTTGTTATGAGGTGGAAAAGATTAAGAATGCGTGTCTGTCTTTGCCAATTAAACTGTGCTAAGAACAGCCCATTATAATTTATAGTAGCTTACAGACACCATTAACATTTCCTGTTTTTGTCCCGTACCAGCATCAAGACCTGCATTTCTAACAGGTCTTGATAAAGTTAACAGCAAGCAACAATGTTATAATAACAAAACAAGAGCGGATTAGCTGGCTTGTGTGCTGTGACTCTTGACTCCCAGCCAACTGCCACCCACCTGTGCAAGTGAGTTGTACCCCACAGATATTGGAACATCATTTCAGAGGCATGAACAATTGCACAGTGCGCATGTAGTGCAGGCTAATGTCTTTCTCCAACAAACAATTATTAGATTAATGTTTCTGCATTGGATTCAGACTTTACAGCTAGCAAAGGTTGTGCTTAGGTAAAGGCACAGTCAGTAATATCTTACTGGCTCTTTACACAAAATGAAAATAATTTAGGGGCGTGCACATGTAGCTGATTAACACCAGGCTCTCAGCTGTTATCTCAATGGTTGCTAAGATTTCAAGCTTGATGAGCACTAAGTGTTTTTTAATCAATGCTCCCAACCTTCAGTCTTCTGAGCAGCCCACCCATTACTTAGCAAACTCTAGTTTTAGGCATAATTTTGGGTACAGTAAAAGATACATTGCTGTATAGTAGAAAAATTACCTGAAAATTGAAAAGGACCTCCCATCCTCCCAGACTTGGTTTTTAAACAAATGACCACACTGAATTAGCAGCTAGTAAATTGGCCACATATGCTATCTTAGCCCAGTTGTTCTGTTGTAACTGCTGCTGATCTCCTGTTAATGGAGTTTTCCAGCAGAGCCCTCCAACCCTGCTAGCTTCATTAGACTCCATGCCCGCTGTGTGAGATGAGCATGAATGCAGCGCAGCAGCACACGACTCCTGGCTGTTGACATTGAATTTGGCATCTGGGAACCCAAGACATGAGTACTGTCTCATGGGATTAACTGGCTAGTTGCCCAAATCTCCAAATTAACTCTCTGAGAGTCAAATCAATTATCAGGGAGAAGGGGCTACAGCAGACAAGTGCTGGTGGGATATCAAGAGAGAGGGACAGGGAATGGAAAGCATCTGACCAGGAGGAGCGGACTTAGGAAACACATGGCACAATACTGTGTTGAATGAGGGCTGCATTTACCCTGCAGAGTTACTGCGGTGGTGAACAATCAGGTTTTTCTATTAGGCTACAGCAATAGATGGTAAAAATCTGGCATGAATTCAATGTACATGAGACTGAACATACTACTACTACTACTAATAATAATAATAATAATAATAATAGTAGTAGCAGTAATAATAATAATGTGCCTAACATTTTTAATTGAGATCTCTTATTTCAAAGCAAAGCCACTTATTTCATTTGAAATTATATAGGAGCTCGAGTCCCTGAACTACTGCTGCATATAAATACTGAGGTAGTTACAACTCATTTGGAAAATAATCATCTGAGAAACAAAAATGCCCCTGCTGGCAGGTGGAAACATAGGTTTTCCCTGTTTGTCTGTGAATTGCTACAGTACTGTAGGTGCATGATGAAATGTTTGTGTATGTGTGTTTTCTCAGGATGAATGTGTGTGTTAGTGAGTGTGAATGACAGGCATGAGTGGATCACCCCGCCATGACAGAATCTATCGATCAGTGTGTCAGCACCAGGGGAAAAGGTTAATCTGCCTGATGTCAGCCCTGCGCCTCACCCCATCTCTGGCCTGCCCTGCGTCCCAGCTCAGCCTGCTCCCTCTCTTATCAGGATTAGAGGAGTGTACAAAAGGGCAGAGTATTCCCAGGACACACACTGACCTTCAGTAATCCCACCAACCTGCCGCTCTGCTTATAATTAACATCAGGAACAAAGAGAAAAATCCCTGGCCTGCCAGGGTAGCATTCTTCTGACTGAAAGACTGAAACTGGAAAAGGGAAAACTTACAGTAGAGTTAGAGCCTGAAAGCACAGAGACTTGCTTCAGTAATATGTTCTGAATGGCCAGGAGAGCCTAGCTGACATTCTAGAGGTGCTGACTAGCCTATCCATGCTCCCCCAGCGCACATACTCTAAACACAGATTGGAGCAACCTGCTGACCCAAGCCCAGAGAAAGAACACTGTTCTTGGGACCAGTAGACATTACTGTGGTGAAGGAATGTTGACTACAGAGTGGAGGACATCTGTGCATTTACTGTGTGTGTGTGTGTGTGTGTGTGTGTGTGCATGTTCACTCACTGGGTCTCGATTCATCTGCACTATGAGTTGTTTAACAGCGTGCAGAGTTGGCTGGGCCCATGGAGAGGGATCTTGCCAGTGGCGGTTCAGGTCGAATCCCATCAGTGAACACCTGTTCACAGACACACACACACAGTTTCAGACGGCAGATTATTAGGTACACCTAGTTCACAAAGAAAACAGCAGGTCTGCACCCCCAAATATATAGTACAAAAGTCTTTTATTTTTTATCATGCAAGCATCAGCACAAAGAGAAAAAGCACACAAGTCTCAGCTATGCTGTCTTCAGTGTGTCTTCAGCCATTCAGCTTTCTAGTTACATAGAGCTTTAGTCAGCTCATTACTGACTCATTACATAATGAGACAGTCTGAGTCAAGGACCTGATGTTTTCATTGCAATGTAATACAAAAACATTTTGTCTAATTTGTAGAGGGCAAAGATTATGTTTCTGACCTTCACTCATTAATTATGAAGATTATTGTCCTTTCTATTTTCATTAGTATGTAGTCCAGAAAACAAAGTTTTGTGTCTGTTTTAAGGTTGTAGGATTATATCTTGTGGGGAGCCTTGGGAAGTTTTTAAACAGGCTAATCTGAAGACACCTGTGCCAGTTTTTGCTGGAACTCTTTTAGATGTATGATAATTTTAGAAGTTTCTGCTGCTAGTCTCCAAACTATGCCATGATGAGAGAGTTAATGAAGGACTGGTTTAATTTTAGCTAGGTGCCTAATAAACTGCCATCTGAGTGTATAAAGCTGTGTAAGTGTGTGCATGTTTGCCTTATAAAATCATACTGCAGTTGCTTAAAGGTACCGTGTAAAGTTGCTTTACCACTAGTAGCAACTGTGGAGCAGTGTTTTTGAGTGGGTTCCTGTTTTGTTTCAATCTTGTCCACATATACTAGTCCTGCCATTACATTCACACTATTCTACTAATTGACAGTTAGCACAATAACTGGGCAATAAATGTAGCAATGTGCCAACAAAGAAAGAAAGGACGGAAGAAAGAAGTAAACAACGTGAATGTAAAAATCTCAACATCTGAAACTAGTGTCACTCTTTCACTGCTCCCTATATAAATCATAATTCCAGACTCATGAATTATTGTCATTTTGAGTTATCACTGTGTAGTTGTGCAGAGTGCCCACAAAAATATTTTTTCCATCTATTAAATGTGACACATTGCATTGTGGGGTTGTTAACAGAAATGAATGGCACACAGAAATGTTTAAAGTAGCAAACTGTAAATATGTATTATCTAGGGCAAATTGCTACTCTCTCAGCCTGCATTTGCCATAATAGGATGCTCACAAGATGCCTCATGATCCACCCTGTTTGTTGTCATGTGTACCTTTGACATTTACTGAAGCCCTTGGTAATGACACAGGAGTTAGTGATGCTGCAGAGCGACTGAGCAGAGCAGCCAGCCATGAATAAGATACTCATCCCAGGTTAACTGCCATTGATTCTTCGCTCTGCATGTATCCATTCCAGTCTGCTCTGCACTGTGCCCTGCCGGGATGGCTGTGGGGTGTCTGTGTACCTGTCTCTGTGTGTGTGTGTGTGTGTGTTGCTGAGAACGACGAGAGAGGGAGCGTGTGTAGCAATGAGCACATGTGATTGGTGAGATGAGGACTTTCACTATTCACCTTCTGTGATTATGCTCATCACCACTCAGTGTGAAAGCAAGCAAATGAAAATAGCCTTTAAGCAGCCACCAATCACAGTCAACAATGTTTAAAGATTGTTACTGCTTCCAAATATTTTTGGAAGCAATGATGACATGCCATCACTAGATGGCACTCACAAACACTGGGAGCACACTACTGATGCTTATTTCAGTGCACATTAGTATTCCTGAGGCTAAGCCTATTAAGTAAAAGTTTTGGGAAAGAGAGGAGGGAAAAACAGAGGAGAGGAGCGTGCACACAGAGCTGCAGCAATAGTGTTAAAGACAGACAAAATGGACCAAAAGTACAGCCCTACAGCCAAATACTATCTTTTAACAAATGCACTGCTGTGAGCTATATAAATTCATTAAGATCCCTAAAGGTGGATTTAGGAGGATATAATCCCACGTAGCAGGACATAAAACCATGTAATGTGTTAATTCTATCTAATGTGGTGATGCAGTCATATTTGTGTACCTGTAGTTGCCCAGGTAGACTCCATCAGGATTCAGCATAGGGACAATCTTGAAGATTACATGATCTCTCAGGATCTGGGCCATAGGATGCTGGCTCACCAGGAAGTCAATCACACCTGTGAAACACACACACACACACACGCAGAGGGAATTAGACTTGAAAAGAAAACCAAAGACGAGTTGGCAGTTAACTGAGTTTTGAGAAAAAAAAGGAGAAGGAAGGACAGCAAGGGGACATCGTCAGAATCAGGGGAGGAATAAGAGATGTCAAGCTTAAATCGATACAAATGGAATGAAGCTGATGGCACTGGAAAAACAGGCAGCACACAGTAGGCTAGAAGCCAACTCATCTGATTCATGATGATGCACAAACACACTGAAACACACACACACACAGAGTCACACATAGCAAATAAAATAGATAGATAGATAGATAGATAGATAGATAGATAGATAGATAGATAGATGTCGTCTGCCACCTATTTGAAACAGTCCCTTCTGCCAAAAGTCTGCCACCTATTTGAAACAGTCCCTTCTGCAAAACTGCTCAGACCTACCACCTATAAACAAGGAAGTGGAACCCAGAAAGAATGAACCTGGCCACTGACCTCAGTCTGAGCAGGAGTCATAAAATCCTGTTAAAATGGTCTTTTAGGCTGTTGTGCTACACAAGAAGACAATTTCCCAAGGGTTCTCAGGTTTTCATGCTCTTTTATTAGTTTTGAGCTAATGGTACTCAGGAGCGAAGATAATGCAACTTCTAGGATATCCTCAGATTGTATTTTCTATTTATGTCGCTTTCAGATATCTCAGGTTCAGGATCAGCATCTGTCTTAAGAAGGTATTAACAAGAGAAATTCTAATAATTCATTGATGAGTTTACAACCTCAAATCAGAAAAAGTTGTGATGGCATGGATGTAAAATCTAAATTAAAGCTGAAAATGGTGATGTGTAAATCACCTGTGTCCTGTATTGCATTGAAAACAATACAGCAGCACATTATTTGATGTGATACCTCATCAGTTTTAGTTTGTGTTCAAAATAAACACTCACTTTGATTCTGATGTTTTCAGAGTAATACAGATGATTTACAAATCACTACTTTTAGTTTTAATTTACATTTTACATATCATCCCAACTTCTTCTGATTTGAGGTGATACACTGTATGGAGCACAAATGAAGGTACTAAACCAGTCAACCTAAAGTTCAGTAAACTAATCATGGGGAGTACTCAGCTCTTTGAAAACAGCTGTAAAATGTCACCTGTAAAATTGTCAACTGTTACGTTGTTTTGATCACACTCAGTGCCCCTTCAGTCTGGAGGAAAAGGTTTCAGTATCTCCTGTGCAGCACAGGCTCTGTCAGTTATGTGGGTAAACTACAAATTTTTATGTCCACTGTTTTATATTCCTCCTCATAAGATGACTTTTAACTTTGAAATAAACTGAAATATTAATAACTTAGAAATCATTTATTTCTCATTAGGATTTTTTCTTTTTGACTTTTAAAGACTGACAAGACATTATTTGGACAACCATGAGCACTAAGACAGTTTCTGATATGCAAAAACAAAGTCTTTGTATGTCCAGGTGTTCTCTGATGGGCTTTGACCTGGACTGGTATTATTGTGTCATGTAGTCTGTGAGAGATGGGGCATTTTAATGACACTGCATGACACATAAATGTTATTTTATTTCCTATTGATTTCATTAGTTTATCAATATGTAACTATAGGTATTCCTAAATGCAAAAAACATATTGACTCATACCCCATGTTTATCCTTTGGCAATGTAGGCTTTAACTATCTTTTTGTAAACACAACATATTTTATGAACTCTAACATGTTGATTAGCATTGTCAAAGAGCACACACCAGTGGTGATCTGAATCAATCCAATGAAACAAGGTACCGACCCAGCATTAAAACTTTACCTTGACAGACAAAGGAGGCGGGAGACTCTCCAGGGTGAACCCGAGCTGTAAGTATAACCAGCTTCTTATCCCTCTCTGGACCCATGCGATCTGCAGGGAGAGAAAGGTGAGAGGGGAAAGGTGCAAAGAAAAGAAAAGGCAATGTGTCAAAGAAGAAAGAGCCAGTGTTGTTAATGCACAGAATTTATAGTACACTTGTAGACAGCAGTTTTAAAAACCCATTCTTGGTAAAATATTACAATTTTAAGTTCAGAAGTAGATATACTAATAGTCAACCTATTACAGTGCCATATCAGAAGCTGTGTCAAAACACATACTGAACTGTTCATCTGTTTTTAGCCAGACACACATAAATCAAACATCAAACTAACACACAGCACTGAATATTAACAGGCAGAGTGAATTATACATCTACAGAGGTCGAGATCAGCCAGCAGCAGGTGTGACCTGATAGAGGTCTTGTTTGAGTTAAGGTCTGACTGAAGACTTCTCTCTGACAAGACACTTCACTGCTCTAACTCTGCTCGGAGGGCACGTTGGACTGCTGACATTGAGCATTGGAGACTTTTCTTATGCATTTTCAGTCACTTTACTGGTGGCATTTCTACACAAATAAAGTTTAATGAACCTTTCAGCATGCCTGAGAAAGCTGAATGGTGAGAGAAGTCGTGGATTCTCCGATCAAACAATTCAGAGCATATGTTTTTCTGCATACTAGTAATATGAATGACTATATCTGAAACTTTACTTTCATAAGGCTGACCTCAAGTGTTTCAATTTCTCACTAGATACCTGCTGTGCAGTGTTTGCAAATAAATTCCAGCAATGGTGTGTTTGAAGTCAGAATCCAAAAGGTAGAAAATTCTTTATTCTATAAGTGAAATTAACCTTCAGAGATTGTATTAACCTCATATGTTCACAATCATTCTTGTGCACATACCTCAAATACTGCACGATATAAGGCTAAATAACAGAAACACAAGCAGTCACCATGCTTCAGCCCAATTAAAAACCATGGAGGTCAAAATTCTGTTTTCTTGGCCAGTGTTTTTCCTCTAATTTGTTGTTGCTAATGGATCAAAGTGATTGTGTGCCTCATTGCTATACACAAACTAAATATCTTATCGATTCTACCACCCACTTCTGCTGAGCAGCAAAAATGCTAATTAGCAACAGGCTATGCACCTTTCCTTCTCCTTAATTCCAATTTAGCCTCAGAGTTGTGTGTGTGTGTATGTGTGCTTCTTGTATACATTGTGTCTGTCTGAGTGAGTAGGGGTTGTAAACAAAAAAAAGTGTTCCATTTAAGTACTCTCTCTCTGATTTTATTTCGCTTTTCTCTCCCTCTGCCCTTCACAGAGACAAATGGCTTTGCCATTCAGAAGTCTCTATGGAGTGGGGCAAGCCGGTTGTTGTAAATGTGAGTGCCTGCGGTTTGGCCGGCCGCAGGGTGCTCGGTGGCTGTGAAATTCCATCACTTAGAAATTCTACTTTGGCCTTGACCCCAGGCCACCACACAGGCTCCTGATACAAGAGCACACTCAAATACGCACACATTGTATAGTGCAAAGCTGCAATCAGCAAAGAAAAGAAGGCACACACACACACACACACACACACACACACGCACAGTCATTCTACCAACAGTAAAACCAAGAACCCAGAAAGTTGTGAGCAAAACCAGTGGCAGCTGCCAAGGCCCTGACTGTTGGGAATTCAACCATCGTGGCCATGCTACATTTAGTCTCAGTGCTAGTGCCCTTGCTGCTCCATCAAAACAATGTCTTCCAGCAGACTCCTGGAGCTTACAATGGATCCACATCACTCTGTGTGTGTGTGTGTATGTGACTATGTCTCCTCAGGGCTCTCACAAATGCTCCCTGAGTAGCTGTTGTGTTTATGTGTCTGTATGTGTATTCCTCTGTATCTGGCTGTGCCCAGTCAAGCACTGTAGCACAAAATTAAATCCTGCTATTCCCCAGGCGGGGGTGGGGGTCAAAGCAAAATCATTTTGGGTTAGGTGAGGGTAGAATTTAACATGGAGGTTAGGGTCAAGTTGTGGTTCAACCTCAAGACCACAGCCCTGCAACACTATCTCCTGACCTCCAGGTGTCAGTAGAGAACAACAGGCAAGGGGACATTGTGAGGAGCAGACAGATAGAAAGGGGAATGAAAGACAGAAGCAAAAGAAAAAGAGAAGGTAAATTATTAGATTGATCAAAATCTCTTTCTTACAGTTTTTAGAGATTGTAGTAGGAGGGAGAAAAACAGAAAACAGGAGTTCTTCAAATAAAAAGTCTTCACTGGAGAGTGCTGAGATGAATGTTAAACCAAGTTCAAGAAAAAAATCACTTCTGCTTCAATGTAATGTGGACAACAATTCATCAGTAATTACAACACAATAATATGTTATAAAAGAATGTGAAATGTGCCATTCTGCATAATAAGCACTTTTACTTTTAGTACTTTAAGTATGTTTTGATGCCAATACTTTTGTACTTTAACTTCAGTAACATTTTAAATGCGTAACTTTTACTTGTAACAGAGTATTTTTACACTGTTGTATTGCTACTTTTACCTAAGTGGAGGATCTGAGTACTACTTCCACCACTGATTATAATGATATTTACAGTAATGGACATATTGGCACTGCAGGTTGTATCAGGTTTGCGCTGGAGATATAATAAATCATAATGAACACAAAAGATAAATAGTTTATGCACATATATGCTGAACTATAATTTGCTATGGAGCTAGCTTGTTTGGGGAACACAGAGGTCATGTCCTCTGTATTAATTTTATGCAGTTAGATCTGACATTTTACAGCTGAAAAACAAAAACTATCACTAGTGGATATTTTATAGTGAGATTTGAATAATGTTGTATTCAATACCTTTAGTTTTTACTTAGTTCAAGCCAACAAAAATGTAATTTTCTGTATTTCCCTACCAGATATGTATTTATTTATTTATTTTATTAATTTTTTTATTGGCTACAGCTCTGTACTTAGTGAAATAAGCACATATAACTGCCAGCATATGCTGTAACTAGAAAAACTAATCACAAGACTGTAGTTTAACACTTGAATGTAATAGTGGTAGTGACAAATAACAAAACAAAGAAAAAGGTAGATCAAATGACATCCAAAACAGGATGCAAATTTGCAGTTTGCCACTTTTTGGGTTGGTTTTCTGCTTTCCTTTGTTCTGTCTTCACCTCCATCTCATTGTTTGTCTCTGTGCCATCCCCTCACTGTCCTATGTCTCTGTTCTTACACCTGTAGTACCTGTAATATCTTTCTTTCCTCAGCTCAGTTCAGCAAAAACACATGGCCCCATTTTATGACAATTAGTAATGTCAAACAAGGACTCACTTTTTCTCTCTTACAGCACCAACCCTTCTCTGAAAGTTTCGCTTTGCAATGTGTGTTGTGTGAAGTGACAAAGCACACTTTATGAATGTCTGAGGAGGCCTTGGCTTGGCAGTGCCCCTGCCTCCCCACAATAAGATGAGCTGAATAAATCTGAGACACGCCACAGGCTTTCTTTCACCTACAAATGTGCGCACGGACACATGCAAGCTCACCAAAGTTTAAGCCAGGGACCTGGTCAGTTCCTGGGGAAGCAAACAACATCATAAAACTCTTATCACTTTAAAGCCCACCACACTTATTATACACAAATTTTCCCATTCCTGTCTGTCTCTCTTTTTCTCCTTTCCTCCTCTCTCTGTTTGTCCTTGAAGAGGCAGAGTGGGTGGTGTCAGCAGGTGGAGCAAGGGGGTGTGTGAAGAGGTGCAGAGCTTTGATGCTTGGTGGTGTTCACTCAACTAGGGAGTACACAGTGCTGCATCTCGTTCCAAGGCTCTGTATAAATTCAGTGCCAGTGACAATTTACAGCTTGCGCCCATCCTTGATATGATGCGCTGAGCAGGGTGCCAAGCGTGTCTTGTTGCCATTTCACCAAAGTGAGGCTAATTTATTACAGTGTAAAACCCACAGAGCAAAGACAGGAGGGGGACAGTGACAGAGAGAGGCCTTATTTGAGACTTGTGTTATATCATGGTATAAAGCTGTGGGTAGTGTTGTCGTTTTTTTACTGTGTCCCTTTGTAGTGTGGAGCAGGGTTGCAGTATAAACTGGAGTATATTTGCCCTCCATGTAACATACCAAAGAAATCAAATAATTTCATCCAGTTTAACATAAAACCTAATAGGCAATTTAGTGTCCAAGGAGTTTAGTGCCAGTCTTAAAATAGTCTCTCAGCCTTCTACAGTGTGCCAGAACACTTGACACCAGTGACATTAAAAAAGTAAGCAAAATCTGCCGCTATCCATTTGAATCAAATTTACTGTTAATGTGGCTAAATGTATTGTATATATGTTAAATATATTGATGATACTTGAAGAAGGTCTTGACAGGGTTTCCTTTGAACCTGCTGAAGAAGAATGATGAAGGAGATCACAGCTAATTACATCATGTCACAACTTCTGAAACTGAACCCAAAGTTCCTGGGACTGCTGTCGCCAAAATAGCTGACCAGCACAATCTGGACTGACCTTCAGCATCCATTAGATTTATGTTGTTTTTCACAACCACTTTGCTTCTCTCAAGTAATTTACATATTTATCAGAGCTGATCGTAGTTTGACATCCTTTAATTTTTTATTTCCTCTCAGTGAGCTGCAAGAGAATGAGCACTAATGTGCCATACAGTGCAGTGCGTGACTTTGGCAGGTGAAAAATATGCTTAGGGAGCACTTTGATTTGGAAGTGTGGACATAAATTTTGCCTCTGCTGCTTTCACTCACTCACTGTCACATCCACCTCCCCTACCCAGCCTCTGCCCTCTTACTGTATTCTCTTAAATGCACATTCCCTTTCCAATTCTTATGTTCTTCAGTCATGTTCTCTGAGCTGCCGTGACAGGCCCACAGAGGACTGTGATGAAGTGAAGTTAAAGAGGTTCATAAATGAGAGACATTGCCCCTCAGGAGTAGGTCCTGCCACTCCAGCATAGCTGCAGCAAACAAGTACTGGCACTGTCTGCAATTAGCTTGTTTTCTGCATAAATTGGTCATGAAATGTGATCT